CTCACTGCCTGCAAAGGTAAAACATGCAACATGAAACTGCTTTTACTAAATAAAAACGTTGGACAGGAAGCTGCAGACCAGCCGACAGTAACACCTGCAGCATCACACCAGCAGCTAATTTAGTCTTATATGGAGCCTTTATACTGTCCTCCCACTCGATCCACCAAAAGTACGAGATCAACTTCTGCAACATTTCCTGTTTTTGTGTTCTTAGTTCATCTCCTAGTGATGTGTCTGCTCAGCTGTTGTGTAACTGTTCCCTGTAGCATCAGAGCACCCAGTTTATTTGATTTCTTTGTCTTTTATTCTTTTATTTTACATTTCTTTCTTTCTTTTTTCTGTCTTCCTTTCTTTCTTCTGCATGATGCATGTTCTCAACATTTTGGATGGACCAGTGTGTAAGTGTCATTGTGCATTTGTTTTATGCTAACAGATTATATAACATATACTCTGTGTATTGGAAGGCCGAGCTCTTCCCGGGACCCGGATTGATTCTCTGGCTGTTGGAGATTTCTTTCACTTTGATTTAAATTGCTGTTTGTTTGAGTGATCATCTCAAACTGTCCCTTCTGTTATCTCTTAAGGTTGATTTTTGATACAAAGTCAAGAAACGAATTCATGTTTTAGCTATAAATGGAGCATTTTAAATGCAACACAGAGAAAAAAGTGATAATTCCAACAGCTTAAAATAACATGAATCACGAGCATGATGTATTTGCTCCAGGTGCATAAATGAATGAGCTCAGCACATACAGAGTCGGTGCAGATGAGTTTGTCTAAAACGTGGATTGCAGAGTAACTTCAGTCCCCAACATGATGGCTTTAGTGTAGTCCTAGCATAGTGGATGTTACCGTTCTCAGTCGGGACTTTACGTCTGCTCGCTGGAACGTTTTCAACTTCATAAGATGCAAAACAAAAAAAGGTAATGAAGGGAGTTCATCTTACTTTTTATCTCATGAGCTCCTGAAGGATTATCTGGGTTTAATTCAGTGCACTCAGGTAAAAAAGCTCACCTGGCTCCTGTGAGCGTGCTCCGCTCAGGTCCCCTCAGAAGCAGCGCTGTGATGCACGCTGCTGGTTGGCGGACACGGAGAAGCACATCTGTATTGTTATCCAATGGAATGACGAGAAGTAATCTAATCCACGACAGCACTAACAAATATTTCTGTAATTACTGTTGAATCTTTTCACCATGTTCAGTGTTTCTGACCAGGCTGTGAAAACTTCATGAGCTGCTGTTTAGCTAACTCTGCTTCCTACACCATGCTGTGCACTTAACACTCCCTCAGTAAATCTACCAGCCTGTGACCTGATCAGAGAGGACCGATGTCAGTGAGCTGAAGAATGAACTGAACTGCTCTGTGGGGCACATTTTACATACTTATATTTTCACACTTCCATTATAGAAATGCACGGTGGCATTATTCACTGTGGGCTCGTCACTGAATAAATGATGTCTGTATATACTTGGTGACCTGTGGCATGTAAAGATCTGGATCTTGTATTGACCCTGTGATCTCCACACAACCTGTGGACTGGCAGTTAAATGCAGTCATGAGTTTAAGGGGGACTCTGTAGTTTCTCCACCTTTTGTTTCATTGATTTTTCATTTCACAAAAGTGAACATCTGTAAAAGTCAGCTTTTTGTGTAAATGTTAAAATGTTCCCACTGCGTCAAAGGGACGTCTTTTATGTCATTTTGGACGATTTTAGTCCACTGACGAGGTTGTTTTGTTTTCTATTACACTTCTAGTGTTGATGTCAGTAGGCCCTCTGTGGACGGGCTTTT